CGAGAATCATAGGTCGTGATCAGATCATACAGATCTAAAGGAAGGGTGAGATCACTTCCGGAAAAGCACCAGCTGAATGAGGAGAAACTTTGAAGCCCTCGTCTCGCAATACTCCGTGGGTATCTCGGACTCTCTCTCTCTCTCGAACATTCTCCCAACTTTGCCAGGATTTCAACCAATTCTGTAGCACTTATCGGAGGGTTATGGAAGTAGACGCGACGTTGCGAAGTCCACATCGGAACTGGGGTGTCATGCTTCAGCAGCCACACTTTGGTTCCTTGGGCGTCGCGCGCGAAGGAATGTAACAGGATGCAGCAGTAGGTAAGAAATGCAAGAACAAAAGTACTAATAGTAGAATTATGCATAAAATAATGATCGCATATCGATTGAGCTCTATATAGAACGCTAGAGCAGTAATAACGGCGAATGAGTGGTCCGCGACAGCCGCGTGCGGCAAATCGATTACCCAAAATCGTTCCTAACGCCCGTCTCCCCAAGACAAGCATTCAGCGCAGCTGGGGAGAGAGAGTTGAAGGATATGAGAATTCTTATTTGCCTACCTCGTGTCGAACCATAACAGGCAACATCAGAATGAAATAATTTCCTATGGTTGAAGTTTAAGTTAAATTTTTTTCCAGGACGTGATTGGCTCCGCTCTTCCACGGATTGGGCCTTACGTCACTCTAGACAACCAGCTCCAAAAAGTCGCCCTCATTGATGATGTGAGTAGCACAGTCATTGGGAAGTTCTGCGATAATGCTGTACTTTCAGGACATGTGCATCAATTGTGGAAAGTGCTATATGGCCTGTAATGATTCGGGTTACCAAGCCATTTCCTTTAACAAAGAAACTCATGTACCAAAAGTAAATGAAGATGATTGTACTGGTTGTACCCTATGTTACAGGTCAGCGCAATCCATATGTGCTTCTCGAATACTTTTTTTAGATAAACATTCTTCTTTCAAGGCTAACGGCATTTGATCTTTCAGTGTCTGCCCTATCCCAGAATGTATTCAAATGGTACCGAGGAAAGGTCCATGGAAAGCTCCATATCGTGGAGTGAAGCCTGCATTTGAGCCGGGAACTCCTCGCGTTGTAAAAGTTAACACCAATGGAAAGGTTATCTTAGAAAATTAGAGAATTAGTCCAGACTTGGATATTCGCACTGATTTGTGAGATATTTACCTTCTGAGATTTCTATTCAATTCCTTAAGGCTTCCAATATTTGACTAATGATCCCAAGTATAAAACTTCACTTTGCAACTTCTCAATCACATAATTGAAATTGCTTGCTAATTCAAAAAACTGCTTGTTTCTTGGTTCTATCTTGGAAAAAATCATCACTTCAAGTCATCGTTCTACGTTCATGGGAGGAACATTATTTTCAAAAAGCTCGTGGTGATAACCAGCTTAGTCACGACAGACGATTGTGATATGAGCGCACAGCGCACATCGGGATTCTCTTGATTATTTACTTCATATACTTTGAGATGTGCCTAATTCATAGGACAGTAACTTCCACCATGAAAATCAAAGTGACAGAAAAAGAGTAAGAGTGTAAGCATATACGTATAAAATCTCTATTCAACATTAAAATCAAAAATAGGATGCCGAAACGAACTCCTTTCTTTACTAACAGTCGAGCATGGAGGTCGACCCCCATGTAGTAGAATGAAGTAGTTCGGAATAGCGTGTCTTCCTATAGAATGGCTAATTTATTGATTCCTTTTCCTCGTGAATTTCAGTGTATGCAATGGTTTTATTGCGGTGTGCAACTCAGTGAAATGACCACGAATACAATATTTTTTAAAATGTGATTACAGTGGACTATTTTCTATTTAATCCCTCCCTATTCTCATACAATAATCGCACATCGAGCTAGAAACTGGTGATAGAGTAGGATCGACTCAAACCGGTTCGTCGAGCTTTCCTCTTATCATGTATGTATATTGCGAATTCTATTCCAAAAAATATGAACAGAAGAAGGAGGACGTTCACTAAAAGAAAATTTTAAAGAAAATTTGTTGTTTTTACATTGGTACTAAAAGCAAGACTAAAACGAACACAATATCATTGGTATACAGTGTATCCATGCGCGGAATATTCCATGTTTCACGCTTCGATGAATCGTGTGTGGATAAGCCATCCTCCTTCAAAAAACCTGATTCCCGTGAAAGAGCTCAAATGAGAGCAAAATGATAAAATTATCAGGCTTTGAACAATCTGAGGTATTGCGTCTCGCATTCAACTTCGATTCAAAACCTTAGCGGCGCATTGAATGCGTACATAGCCTGTATAACGAATTGCGGTGGTCACCCTGTGTATGAGCTAGTACTTTATCCTCTTAGACCCACCTGTTACCAACTAACCGGCCTTAGGGGAATGAAAGGTTTGTTTGACTTTGGTGAATAACGACCCGGGATTCGAACACATGACCGTGGATGTGATAGCGCCACTTGCCACAGCCCTACATTGCTGATTTATACTCAAACCAGTCCTCAGGAGTGCGCTTAGTTGCACGCGTTCGTCAAAACTAGGTCACGCCGCAGCAGTCGCATGCTTCGGGTCAGCTCGCGATCCTTGACAGACGTCGCAGTTGTCAGTGGGGCATACGATCTGCGCTTGGTCCACGGCAGTCAGCCAACGAGAAGATAACACGGACAAATGCAAATTGGCTGCTCCACTTTCACTTGGTGGTACTGTAATGTCATCTTGAGATCTCATTGGGATTCGCCGCGCGCTAAGTGGGCGGGGTGACCTATTTTCGACGGACGCGCGCAACGGACGTTCTCCCGAATATATAGTAGAGATATCTCAAACTGCGTCCTAGAGACGTCACGGTGATGACCTCAATGACTCCATCCTTTCTGCCACATTAATTCACCCTTCATAGGAAGACCAACTTTGACTGCTTCACAACTTGCAGCGAATTCAGTATGCAAATGATGGTTTGGATTTGTTATGTCGCCCTAAGATTGGGTTTATCATACCAGATTACGTCCATGGCCCACTGTGAAAAAGTCACTGAATGTAGTAAACAAAATACCATTTTGAAAGCGATGGAAAAAGGGCAACGATAACGTAGGGGATAAGGTTTCTTCCTGATGATGATCTTCCCCTACTAAAGTATCAAATCTTAAAATTCTTTCTCAATAAGGAGTAGACCTTGTATGAGCAATTCAAGTGTAAACAACATCACACTCAGTGACAAAGCTGCGTTCATATCACCTTTCTCCAACACAGATATCAAATATCAGTAGAAATATGTGAGAATTTTGATCATTTCCTTAATGGCGTAATGTTTGGCGTCGGTCAACCCCGATGTCAAACGCGCCACGTATTTTGCCCCCGTGTTGATACGTAGTGGTTGAATGTAAAGCTTAGCGTTAAATTGCAGGTTTGGCATAAGCAGTGTAAGTATAAGCCCGTATCCTATCCCCCGAGAGAACGGATACCATCTGATACAATTCAAGATATCGGAGTAATGGAGAGCTTGACTGACCTAAGCAGGTATCGGTACTGATACACAAACCATACGTTTGGTAACGGTCACTTGCCACTACCCCAACATCACAGTTACAGGTAACTTTTCAAGCAACAGTTAACCAAATCAGGAAAGGTAGTAATCTATGGTAGGAGGCTTCAAGGAAATTGGAGCTGATGCCTCTATCGTAAATCTAAAAGAAAAAAGTATCACCTGTGAAAATTGAGATGATTGAACCATCGAGTGGTAGATGCCTTTAGTAGGGTTTGTTCCGGTGTTGGAATATTGGCGAAAGTATACTAAACATTGTTGAGCTTGATTTTCCGGTGCTCAAGCTCACTGAACTGGTAGTATACATCCGCTGACTTACTTTCCTATCACTGGAAAAGTAGTAGGAAAAAAGCATGAAATTGCCAATGAATTCACAACGATTGTTCGGATACACAGTGATATGCTTCGATCGGTAAACGTGACCATCATAGTAAGATGCATCCATTCTGGAACATGATATTTATCGGGATCTATGACGTCCGAGGATGCGCGCGGCAAATTGCGCGGCGAAGTTCGTAATGATTTGAACGACTTTGGCGCCTATCATTGGGGCCCAAATATGAAATAGAGTGGCTTAGGAGGATCACCTGACCCTACTAAACTAAAATACTTCGAGTTTGTGCCCCGAAAATTGGCGCCGTAGTCGTACAAATCGTCACGAACTTCGCCGCGCAATTTGCCACGCGCACCCTCGGACGCACGTTCCTACCGTACCCCCAAATTATCGTGATTTGTGCCTTTAAGAGGACTGGTAGTGAGCGCACTTGTACCAGTTCGAAAATGAAAAACGAAAACAGGAAACGAGAAAACGTCGGCAAAAGATTTTTACTCACACGATTCCCTGCAACGATTCCGTCACCAACGATTCCATTGGAACTGCGGATGCTATATATTTCCCGAGCAAGGGTAGGCCATTTTCATATTTTTGACGTAAAAGGATGAAACCTGAGCTGAAATTATCAGATGAATTTTCTACGCCGTTGTTATGCACGAGCATCATGTTAAAATGCAGAGCTGTGTGTCCAACCTATCATTGTCTCATCACGTATGTTCATCCAGGTCTCTACGTTAACAAATTCTATAAAGGTACAGTTCACGATGAAAATGATTTCTGAAGTTTACCCTGTGTAGGCCACTGTCCCCTATGGATACATATAGTACACATATGGTGCATTGTCGGGTTGAAGAACGACTTAGACAGGGCGTAGTAAACGCTCCAAATTAAACGGGCGACGTAACCGCTCCAAAGTAGCCGTGTCATGACGCCCTATAAGGCTGCACCATTCGCGATGAAGCGCTAGGACACCGACAAATAGTACGCTTACGTGGGAGACGCGCACACGGTAACAGACGCACCGCACTCGCACGAAACATGCGATCATACGTCTTCTTCTTTTTCAAATTAACCATTTTTATGCTCTGATCTACGCCGTCAA